TACAACTCAACTCAAATCATCGTATTTGCATCAACTCAATTCAACTTAACGCTACGACATCTCGCGTTACATAGCTGGCAATAGTGGTCTCCGACATCACCCTCTCAAAGAACCCGAACAATATTTGCTACATATATCACGTTCATTGGAAACTCGGGAATTCTGAGAGTTGATGTATTCATACGAATTTTATTGGATTAAGCGGGATGGAAAATTTTCTTAGTTCTGATTATAAGTTATGTATAAAAAGTGTTAACTTAATGACATAGTCAAATGAGAGACAAGAAAATTGCTTCTAACATATCACAACATGGATGCTAAGTAAACATCCTGATATTATCATTTTATTTCAGAACTTCATAAGCTTTAATCTTTCCAAATTGCTGATGATAACTTTCCAGACAACTTTGATAATAAATTGGTTTTTTTTTTAGAGATATCACAGAACTTTTTAAGATATTAGTGAACTGTTTCTTTTCAGGACACGATTTCACTACTTGGCTATGACATTTTGAAATATTCAGGCCACATCATTACAGTTAGTTTCTTTTATTCAAATTCAACATTTATATTTCTCGTTGCTAACTGATAGATTTATTTTATTCATTCCTCTGATCTTTATGATCAATTATCAGTTCACACTAAGTTATAATCAGTTAGTTCACATGGTTGCTAAATTTTTTGAACCTTCCATGTTTTCATTACATTAAGGTTTAAAATTGAATTGTGAAGAAAAGAAAGAATGATAAATGGAGGATACCGTATTGCTGAGGATTATATAAGATAAACTTTCTCCTTCATTTTTCTTATTACTTCATATAAGAAGTAAACATAATTTATATGAATGTTTAGAACTTTTTCAATTCTAAAAATATGCATTAAATCATATTTCAATTCATTCATTAGTTTCATCTACTTAATTAAGTTTTTAAAAGACAGGTTGTCACATGTAATATTTTGTTCATCTTATTTACGGACTTTTCTAAGTTATAAACTTAAATCACATGTTCAATTCATTATTAAGTCATGACGGGTGATTTGTCAACTCACATTTATTTAAAGTATTTATGAATAGGAGCTGATAATTTATCTTTTATGATTTCTTTACAGACACATTATAATTCATCTAACATTAAAATATTCAGTTAAAATTAAAGTTGACAAATTAAATATTCGGATGTGATACCTAAAGCAGATTATGGATGAAGAGATGACATTTAGTAGTAAAATTAAAGTTAAAGTTTCATGTATTCATACCTTAAGTTGATCTTCTAGAAAAGATTTCACCAATATTGATGCCTACTCTTGTAGTCACTTGTTAATTATACTGTAATTCAATATAGTAAGGTATTATCGATTTTTGTATATTACTTTTTTTTTTCATTCATTTTATTTTTAACTGGAAAATTACTATTTCTGTCTTCAAAAGTTTCTTTTTTCTTTAAATTGGTATAGATTTGATTTAGGATAACTTTCGTCAACAGTATTGGTACTTTGAAGTCATTTCGGATCAAAAAGATCAAACTTTCAAGATATTATTTGAAATGAAATACAGTATGAAATAATCTTTCTATTATAGATTTAAATATCTTCAAGAAACGATTTCATTCATTGTTTACAAGAAGCAATGCATTTTTAAATAAGTAATTCACTTTGTGTTATCAATCTTCCCGTATTTCATGTGATTCCTCGGTGACAAGTCATTTACATATCCTCACTTACGCTTTGTAACATTTATGATCTGAATATTTCAATCTTTGAACTGTTTTAATTTATTATTCCGAATGAAGATTAATCCGGTTTTGTGCAGATGTTTCTTCTTATAACTAATTTTATGAGCAGAACACCAGAAGAAAATCACTTTATATGACCTTACTTTTGCTCACTTTAAATCTTTTACATCGTTAGAATTTTTCTTCAAATATGTTGAAAATTTTTCAAGAAAATTTTCCTGTCCTCAATGAATAATATTCTCAAGCAATTGTCAATGATTAGCGGTGCTCTTTTTTATTAATTGCTGTCATTATTTGCATAATGAAGGAATTCCTTTCCATCTAATGATGATGAGGAGAAGTGTTTGTTGATTGATGATCATGTAATGAGTGTGTAAAATGTCAAATGATGAAACTATAAACAAAGGATTCGAGGGATGAAGGTGAACTGAAATGCAAATTTCTTAAGGGAAATAAAGCAAAAAGTTTTGGCTAAATTCAGGTTTAGCAGTTTCAAATACAAACCAAAATCTTTTCATATCAGTTAGAACAGAAATTTGAATGAGTGGTGGGTTTTCCAAAAAGAGAAAATTAATCGTTTTGAAAAAGTTCATCTAAAACTCTCAATTGTCCATAAAATTAATTATTAGCGATTGGAAAAATTGTTATTCATTGAAAAATAAGACTATGCAATATAATCAACAGATTTAATCAGCAGATGCATTTAAGGTGAAATTTTAGCTTAATTGTTATTTGAAGGTTTTCTCGAGAAATATTTGGAATTAGTTTGGTTACCACACATCATTCAATTTATCATAGTAATAGGAAAAGATGGATTGAAAATAAAATAAGCATTGGAAAAAAAGAAAAAATTGAATTATTAATAGGGAAAAAGAAAAATTGATCAGCTGCCATTTATCCTACTGTAACACTTTTTAACTGCTTGTGTTATTGTTAAACGAATCGTACAGAAATTATAGGCTTGTCAAAAATTATACAAATCTAACTGAATATTACAATGCAAAAGATATCAATGCAATAGCGATTAAGATAGCAAAAATTTGTATGTACGGTATGCAAGAGTTACAGTATTTTCAGATTTACCTCAAGTATACGGCAATAATCATAGATCATAAATGGTAATCGCGTTATCCACATTCAAAGATTTATCGGAACTATGTTGATTATGCCCTGAGTGAATTTATCATAAATTATTATTTTTTTCAAAGTTTTCATTAGCTTTACTCAATTAAACACCTGCAATGAGGTAAATGGCAATAAGCAGAATTGAATCCAATTAGTGTGAATATTTTGAAATATTAAAATTGAAAATAAAAAAAAACTTTTCCTGCCAACAAAACTATGTCAACAGCTCTAAGGAATAGAAACGCTAAAAAAAATACCAATTCATTCCAATGATTTTAGAAAAGCAAAGGTGTTTGAATGGCAAAAGATTGTCACCAGCCATTGTCACCGATTATTGGGCGCATTGACATGAAGCTATGCTAGCATGAAACACCGGTTTTATGGTGAATGGATGAATTTATTTAAGCCCAACAGCAAATAATCTCTATGATACGATTGATTGAATCTTATTAGCCTTGGATTGAAAACATGCTTAATTTGATAGTGTCGCAGTCATCGGCCAAACACTCAGTTGTATTATTCCAAACATTGGCAATTTAAAATGGGCATAAAATATTGACCATATTCGCAGAGCATAGTTTGTTTGTACTAGCCAGAAAGATGTCCAAACAACAGAGAGAAGAATGTCTCTTAAAAAAAAAAAAATTTTGCTAAAAGAGAAAAAAATTAAAGGGATCTTCTTAATCACTATCAGATTTCTGATTGAAGTGGAAAAACAAAAACCTTAAACTGATAAGAGGAATGAACTTTGACATGCCTTTCCATAATCACCTCAAAAATAAAATTTTCCATCCGATGAATCAATGACATGACAAATGTCATCAAACTCATACCAAAGAATCAGATATAATCATTCGGTTGGATCTTTAACAAATGTATCTACTAAACTACAGCACGTATTTTAGCTGTACTAAATCATTTATTATAGAAAGAGTAGCAATTTCAACCAGCGAAATGAATAAATCAATTTATTTGAAATGAAAAAATTAACAAATAATCGTTGGAATGTTATGATATCCATAAATTGAGATTTGCCGGATTTGATTGTATAACTTTCACTTTTGGTTTCAGTAAGGATTGAAGACAAATTCGGAAACTAAGCAGAAATGGAAAACGTTGCAATACTTCTGTAGTAATATCCTGTTGTCGATGTAACATAATGACAAGGATGTCCAATGTAGAAGTATAGCTGACCAATTTTAAATATGTATTGTACAAATCAGCATTTTTCACATCAAGCAATTTAATGCAATATGATGCCATATTGGGTACAACAAAAAGTGCTGCAATATAATAATCTAATGATGAAAGATGATTTTTCCATTTCTATTAATTTACTGATAGCAATTATCTGATGGTTATTTATCACATCAAAAAATGATAAAGTTGCATTATTGATTTGTTAACTGATCTGTTAGCAAGTAGAATAGTAAGGAATATAAGTGAAACTTACCAAAAGTAAAACAGCAAGAGAAAAGCATAGCTTGTGTGAAGCCTTGTTGACGTGAATTGAAATTGGCCATACGACGATTAACCTTTACAGTTTCTTGTACTTGTCGAAATCTGACCAAAACAACAAGCATTACGAGAATGCTTAGAGTTGAAGTACACATTCGTACAAATAGAAGGAGAAAGAATGTATGTCGTGACATCATTACATAGCATCTGGAAGATGACATATATTGTTAGGTAAGCATAACTGTTACGACTTTAACTCTTATCAGAAGTTTCTCGTTTGAGGATTATTTTACTGTGACAATTAAATCCTAACTAGCATGGGAAGATTAAGCATGCCTGGAATGATGAAAACAAACAAGAGGAAATAAAACTGTTGTAGCAATGTCCACATAATAATGTAGTTTTAATCGCTAGTAATAAGCTTTCGCTAAATTTATGTCACAGAAGATAATCAATCAAGTAAAAAACTTCCGACAAGGACATAAGATTATATTTAGTTAACTTATCAGAAATAGAAAAAGAAAAACGAACGTGCATTTATTGGTAGCAAATGGTACATTAAATTTAGCAATAATGACATAGATCATAAAGCCAAGTTGAAATAAGCCAGCCATGGAAAGTTGGACGATCAGGTACAATTTTGGATGTAGAAAATAGCCAATTGGATTGTATATTACCAACAGTCGATCGACTGTCTGGATTGAGATTTAGTGGCTAAAATCAACCCAAATAAAACACTCCATCACCAGACTCTTCAGCTTAGTGAGTAGTTAATCACGGACACTTCAGTAGATAATCATGGATACTAGTTGGACAAGTTATATGATTTTAATCCCTGACAATATTAACATGAACTTCACGTCTCTATTTAATTTAAATACGTATGTATTTATAGCACTATCAGTAC